CCTTTCCAGCCACTCGTCCCCAAGCCTGTATATCAACATTATAGCTGTCATTAACATCAGTTTTAATTATTATTTCTATTAAATATATTTCTAGTTCAACCCACAAATCTCCTTCCCTTTTCTCAACCTCCCTCCCTGGGGAGGGGGCATTGGGTGATGGAGCAACTGTGCAAACCACGCCATCCACCGCTCAGCCTGCAGCTCGCTTTCCTTCTCTACCTGAAGAGCTGCAGCTGAGAACAGCTCACAACTCATCACCTTTGTAGCCACATTACAGTAACACCAAGCCCAAAGCAAGGGGCTTAGGTAGCAGGAGAAGGTACTGGAGGTGTCAAGCATGGCAGGAGAAGCCCACAGTGGCACAAGAGGACGCGTGGGTGGCCATGCAGCACTCACCTCGGACGTGGATGTCGGTGTCGGTCATGAGCAGCACGGCCAGCGGGTGGACCTGGGAGGAATCCCGCACAAACACCCCGCCGTTGGACTTGACCGCCATGAAGTAGGTGAGCCAGCGGCTGTACAGCTTGGATGCCTCCCTGCAAGGAGGAACAGCGTTGTCAGGCTGAGAGGTGGTGAGTTTTGGTACTGGCACATGTGTATGAGGCAGTGTCGGGGTCCCCGGGGTGCTGTGATGTGCGTGGTTTGGGGTCCTAGATCACCCACCTGTTGATGGTTGACTTGTGGAGCAGAACGGTGCCGGCCTTTGTCCGATACGCGTAGCTGTTGGGTTTGAACTTCCCTTGACGAGTCACTTTGCCTTGTCTCACCTGAAACGAGAAGAGCATCTCAAACCCCTGCCCAACCAGCAGGCACTGCCCACCAGCAGCCAGTCTGGCTCTCCCCATCGCTGTCTCTCCTGTGTGTGTTCCACTTCCAGCAGCTTTCTTATGTTAGCAGAGTACATAAGTGAGGGTGACCAGACCTGGCAGTCACCAAACAACACTCAAAGGGCAGCAAACAGAAGGAAGATGCCACCTCGATGGCTTCTAGACCAAGCTACAAGAACCCAAGGCTGAGGAGGCTGCTCCTCATAAGGAGGGATCCAGGGACAGCAGAGCAGCAGCCAAGCAGGACACACGCTCCCAGCAGAGCGCAAGCATCCTTGGCACCTCGATCCTCCCCTGTGCCACCCACAGTGACCAGCAAGCCCAGGAGAGTGATGGCAGAACAGGGAGCCAGTACCTGGATGAGGTTGGGGTAGAGCCCAGCCATGAGGACTCCCTTGACCAGTTCCTCCTCTTCGCTGTACTGGTTACATACAGACGAGGGCATGGTACAGTCAGACGGGGACGACACCAAGAAGGCTTCGTAGAGGTTCTCCGAGAACTGCTTGACAAGGCCTGCAGGGAGGAGACGGCCCCAGGGAATAAGATTCACCCTCTCCTGTCCCACCTGTGGCCTCCCTGGCACCCAGAGCTACACCCACACTCCTGGGTGCCAATGCCAGAACCTGCACCCACTCCTGCAGCCACCTCCCCACTTCTGCACCACGTGTTTCAGCCTTTCCAGGGGGCAGAAGCAGATCTCCAGGACTCACCATTGATGAAGCGAAGGCTGGGGCCGTACAGGTAGTAGTCCTGCAGGTAGTTGTCCCTGGCACGGCTGTCTCTGCGTCTCAGCACCTCCTCCCAGCCCGCCACAGCTCTGACAAACGCGAGGTGATCGCTCCCGCTCTCCCGGCTCAGAACAGCCTTGGCCTGGGACACAGACGCACGGCAGTCAAGCAGCAGTTCCTTCCCTACCTGCTTTCTACCTTCTTCTGGCTGGGGCTCCTCACCTTGTCCACCTCCGCACGGTTTTGCAGGCTGCTGCTGAAGGGGTCCCGGGTGAGGCAGGAAACGATGACGAGCAAGGGGTGGAGGCAGCGGTAGATGGATGCCAAGACGATGGCTTTTGCCAGCCGAGGATCCGTGGAGATCTGGGCGAGGCGTTTGCCCAAAGTGGTGAGGGCTTCTCGCTGGTCCAGGACTCCTGCAACAGGGTACAACCATCAGCTCTGAGCTGGGGCCAACGTGGTGGCCACTGGCATTGGGGAGCTGCCAGGAAAACCCACCTACAAGGCTTGGAAGATTTGGTGTAACCTCCAGGAGAGGCATACAGGGTAGGTGCCTGCAATGAGCACTCAGAAACACCCAGGTCTGACTGCCCTGAGGCCAAAGAAAAGGCTGTGACAACTGGATCACAGAACAGAATCCCAGAATGTCAGGGATTGGAAGGGATCTCAAAAACTCATCCAGTCCAATCCCCCTGCCGCAACAGGAACACCCAGATGAGGTTACACAGGAAGGCGTCCAAGCGGGGTTTGAATGTCTGCAGAGCAGGAGAATCCACTGTCTGCAGAGAAGGAGACTCCACAACCTCTCTGGGCAGCCTGGGCCAGGGCTCTGTCACCCTCACTGAGAAGAAGTTTCTTCTCCAATTTCAGTGGAACCTCCTGTGTTCCAGTTTGTGTCCGTTACCCCTTGTCCTATCATTGTTTGTCACCGAGAAGAGCCTGGCTCCATCCTCGTGACACTCACCCTTGAAATATTTCTAAACATGAATGAGGTCTCCCCTCAGTCTCCTCTTCTGCAAACTAAAGAGCCCCAGCTCCCTCAGCCGCTCCTCAGAAGGGAGATGCTCCAATCCCTCCATCATCTTTGTAGCCCTACGCTGGACTCTCTCCAGCAGTTCCTGTCCTTCTTGACCTGAGGGCCCAGAACTGGACACAATATTCCAGATGCAGTCTCACCAGGGCAGAGTAGAGGGGCAGGAGAACCTCTCTGCCCTACAACCACCCCCCTCCTAATACACCCCAGGATGGCATTGGCCTTCTTGGCCACAAGGGCACAGTGCTGGCTCATGGTCATGGATGACACCCACCAAGGCCCCAGCTGTGAACTCCAAGTCACGTATTTCCTCCTTTCTTCATCATTCTCCCCTCCTCGGGAATTTCTCCCCACTTCTTGAGCAAAGCAGCATGAGAAATAAAATAGCACCACAAAGCGTGCGGTTTGTGAAGTCCCCATCAGCTGCCATCCCTATCCAGGGACAACCCTGCCCCGTCTGTGCCAACTCCCACACTTCCCACGTTCAGCCAGCAAACGCGCTTCCCTCCCGCCCACACCAGGCCGCAGCATGAACTCACCGATCTCCTGCAGCAAGATCACTGCTTCATCCACAGCTTTGATGTCAGGGCTGTCCAGAGCCTTGGAGAGAAATTCAACCGCCTGCAACGCAGCGGGGGAGGGAAAAGAAAAACAAAAAAGGGGCATGTTTTGTGTTTCCCATACAGGAGGGTGGGAGAGCCCTGAGGCCACTGCCCTGCTCCTGGGCCCCAAACTGCAACACAGCTCCCTCTTGGTTTTCCTGCAGGGATACGAGCTCAGCCCTCTCCACTCTTGCAGAGTCTTTTAGACACACTCTAATCTAAGTAATCTATACATTTCCTGCTCTTAACTTCCCTAGAGAGCACGGCATTTATTTATTTAGTCCTTGCATGAACACAAGGACTGAAGTCATCGGCATTTGGGTTTTTCCTACTCATGTCTGTGGCCAAATCACATCTCAAAGTGGCACCAGGCAGGCCGCATCCTGCTGGTCCAGTCAGCTGCAGTCTTACAGGCAATACACGGTGCTTACCGTTTTCTCCGGCATGTGGATCTTGGCCTGAACCACCAGGTTCTCCAGCGGGGTGCGGAGGATCTCTGGAACCTGGTAAGTTGGCATCTTGTCCAGGCGGCTGCGAGGGAAGAGGTGATAGGCAAATCCCGACTGACAGCGGCCAGCGCGGCCTCGCCTCTGCACCACGTTCGACTTGGACACCCACACCGTCTCCAGGCAGGACACCTAAGGAGAAGGAGGATTAGACATGAAGGCTCTCACAGCTCTCTGTCGTGTTTAAACACAGCCTTCCATGCAGGTCACAGACCTCAGAAACTCCTCACGACTGATTAAGCACCCTGCTGAAGGGCAAGGGAAGCCTTCCCCACTCTCCTCTCTCTCTCAGTGCCAGGCAGCAGCGGGAAGGCCCGAGATGCTCAGTGCATGGATGAGACCCTGATGCCATCTGCTGGACACCTACTCCAGCTCCACATCACAACACGGAGCATCCCAGGGGCTCATCTCGCTGCTGGGAGCTGCCAGTGGAGCACAGGCCTTGCCTCCCCCATGCCAGTCCTGCTGTGCCCTAGCACAGGCGCTGCAGGGTCTGCGTTGTGAGATGGACTGGGTTACAATTGGGCAAATATAAAAGGGTTGGGTTTAAAGCAGAACTGGCCCAAGGTGTGAATTGCCACCTGGCCCTGTAAGATGTCCTAGCACAGGGAGGGGAAGGGGCAGCCAGAATCCCTTCTTCCAAGAGTAACAGGGACACAGCTGCCTTCATGTTAATGAAAGTGTACACGCAAGAGCCTTTGCAGGGCCCAACACAACCAGAAATGTGGCCTGAGAAGAGAGTAAAAATGCCCCCTTAAAGCTGACAATAGGCTAAGACAGCTTCAAACAAGAGCAGTAATACCAGGACTTGGGGTGTTGGGTGAGGAGAAGCTCAACAGGAGCCAGCAATGGGTGCTCCCAGCCCAGAAACCAACCCTGTCCTGGGCTGCATCCTCACAGTGTGGCCAGCAGGGCCAGATCAGGGGGATTCTGTCCCTCTGCTCCGCTCTGGGACCAGAGACCCCCCCTGCAGGGCTGTGTCCAGCTCTGGGCCCCAACACCAGAAGCCATGGAGCTGTTGGAGTCCAGAGGAGGCCACGCAGATGCTGAGGGGCTGGAGCAGCTGTGCTGTGGGGCCAGGCTGAGAGAGTTGGGCTTGTTCAGCCTGGAGAAGAGAAGAGAAGGCTGCGGGGAGACCTTAGAGCACCTTCCAGGACCTGAAGGGTCCAGGAAAGCTGGGGAGGGACTTTTGAGAAGGGCTGGAGTGATGGGAGCAGGGGGGATGGCTTGAAACTGGAATTTGGGAGATTGAGAGTGGATCTTGGGGAGAAATTGTTGAGTGTGAGGGTGGTGAGGCCCTGGCCCAGGTTGCCCAGAGAAGCTGTGGGTGCCCCCTCCCTGGCAGTGGCCAAGGCCAGGTTGGCCGGGGCTTGGAGCAGCCTGGACTGGTGGAGGTGTCCCTGCCCATGGGGGTTGGACTGGGGGGTCTGTGAGGTCCCTTTCAACCCAAACCAGTCTGGGATTTTACCAAAAAGGCAGAAAGCAAATGGGAAAGGTCCAGATGTTAATGGTGTAAGAGAGAGATTGGAAGGGAGTAGGGATTTGCCTTCAATTTCTTTGAGGACACCAGATTTTTGCCTGTTCAGCAGAAGTCGATGGGAAACCTGGCAAGCAGCTCAGTACAGGCAAACACTTTCCAAATGATGAGTCAAACACTGTCCCCAGACAGGGACACAGTGTCAGTACCCCAATGTCCAGATGGGAAGCAGCTCTTTCATCCCATTAATTACTAATTAAGCATCTCAAACGTTGCTCTGAAAATGTCCAGCAGCTCTGCTATGTCCCAAATGCACTTAAGAGGCAAGAAAGCATCAGTACCTTGGTCTTTAAATCATAGCGCTCCTCCTTGTGCGTGCCACTGTCCACCACATGGACAATGTCATTGATGGTGATGGACGTCTCGGCGATGTTGGTGGCCAGGACGATTTTCCTGACGCCAGGCGGAGGCCGCTGGAAGATGTTTTGCTGGTCCATCATGGGGATGTTGGAGTGCACTGGGAAATAAAAGCAGAGTCAGTGCTGTGCTGCTGAGCTGCAAGGCCAAGGCGGGCAGAGATTCTCAGCCCTGCTGGTGCCATCACCTCCCACTTCCAAACACGGGGGACAGGGACACCCCTTGTAACACTGATGGTCAGCAGCAGCAGTTTCCTGCCAGCCAGACCCTAGGAAAAACCCTCCACACATCCTTAGGGAAGGCCTCATTTCGGTTGCTTCAATCTATGGCTCAACACCAGCAGGAGCCCTGATCACCTCCCATCCCACAGGGGCTGATGACACCACCAGAACATCCCAGTGCCCCAACGCAGGAGTCTCGCTCCCATAGCTCAGCTCTGCAGCTCCCCCCTTTTCAAAGGGCCAACAAGGAGGGGGAAGGGGGCATCCTCTTTGTCTTCTGGTTTCACTTGGTCAAAAATGGTTGTCAGCAAGGGCCCACAACTCTTTTATATCGCACATTGGCCCTATTACAGATCAGCGACGCAGAGAAATTCTCAGCAACTGCACAGCACCGCAGGGGACTGCGAGAACACGCAGCCTGCACAAAAGAACACCTGCATTTATCAGCAACCAAGCTGCTCGAAATCGTGCTCCTGGCTGGCCTTATTTCACACCGAATAAGGGAGGAGGGTTAAAAAAACCCCTACAAAAATCCCACAAGCAAACAAATCAACTCCCTAGATCTTACAGCCTTGCAGAGTAACACTGGCTTTTTGTTATAAATTTCCCTCCTGGGATACAGGACGTTGAATTCACTGATCAAAGCTGAGCTACAGATTGTATCTCCATCCCACAAAACTGGTCCTGAAGATCTTTTCTGTGTCAGCTCAGCACGCAGCTACAGCAAGGCAGAGTTTAGCGGTTTCCTCCTCGCCTAATTCTGACTTGCTGGAGGCAAACAGAAAACCAGTTTCTTTGATCACACACAGGTTTGGATGGCCTCTGCGAGGAGGAGTTACTCGTGCTTAACACACACAATTACACAACGAGTAAACACACCAGGGATACGAGCTTGCTCTGTATCAGAGCGCGAGGGGCTCATCAAGAAAATTGGCCTATCCATTCTCCGAAATTTTGGGGAGAAAAGCTCTGGCGATGCCATCTCACCTGGTAGGACGAGGTACCGGCTGTTCTGAGAGCCCAGCATCTCGAGCAGGCGCTGCTGCACTCCTTTGATTTCCTGCCAACCGGGGAGGAAGCAGAGGATCCCACCTGAAACAGAGCAAAGAGTTAAGAACAAGCGACCTAGGAATCCACACAGAAACTGCTTCTGCTGCACAGAGGGGACACCCATGATTTCCTGAAGAAACCCCAAAAAAGCAGGGCCCAGGTCAGTGATTTTCCCTGCCAGCTGATCGCTAAGGAAACCTGCATCACATCGATCATGGACAAACGACAGATACAGCCATTGCGGGAAGTTGGACCCAGGGGAACATTTGTCTCAACTCCATACCCTGCTGTGCTGCATCTGCTTCTGTGAGCTCGGTAGGGCAAGGTTTTAAAGCCAGAAAGAAACCAGGTTACCTGTATTTTGAGAGTGAATGCCTTCTGGTCACTTTGTAACGCTTAAAACTGGTAGAAGTACTCTGAAAATCCTGCCTTCCTCAGAAAAACATCACTTTCCAGGGATGGCAATTAACAGGGATGGGTCTCCAACACAGAAAACTAACTCAACTGTACAGCACACAGCTGCAAATGCTGAAGCACAGACAAGTCTTGCCCCTCACCCCAAAACCAGCTGTATCTCAGGACACTAAGAGTGAGACACTGAGGACCTGGATGCTGTATTAGCCAAAGACTCTGAATTAGCTCATGCCCCACTGATCAAGACCATTCAGATCAAGAGGAAATCTAGGTGGCCTTGCTGGAGTCAGCTCAGCATCGTGTTTTCTCTGCAAAGGGTCTGGGCTCTGCAAGGGATCACTTTTTTCCCTCTCCTCAGCAAAAGGAAAGAGCAATGGGGCAAAGCAGAACGTACCTGGTTCTCCGTGAGCATCGATTTGGAGTACGAGGTCGGTGATCAGATCAAGATCAAGGACACATTCGTCATCCGATTGCTGGATAAAACAGAAGGACACACGCAGATAAATGAGCTGCAAGCTTGCAGAAAGGCTCACAGAGCATCTTCTGGAGACAGCAAATGCCTGTACTTGGATGGCCTGCCCAGGACGAGGAGCCAGGAACCTCAGGAGCTTGATTTTGGCTCCATCTGGAACCCGCTCTGGTCGCAACCGCTGCCAGTTTCCTCTGCTGTGCAGTGAGGATATTCAGGCCCTTTCCCATTCTCCAGACTCAGAAGCTAACAGATTTGTGTACCTCTACTGAACAGCACTTACCAAGTAACAAAAATGAATGTGACATTTTTGGGGACAAAACTGTGCCATGTGCACCCAGGCCTTCAAATCCAGCAGGCACAGAGCAGCAGCTTTGGTAGATCTCAGTGATTTGGAACATAGGTATCAGGCCAGCTTAAAAAGCGCAGGTTTAAAACAACCCAGCCACAGCAGAAGCAGAAAGATTGCCCTGAAGGCAAGAGGACACCCTCAGCAATTTTGCTGATGATCCAAAACCAGGATAAGCAGCTGATGCACCCGATGGTTGCTCAGCTGTAGGGAGGGACCTCTACGGGCTGGAGAAATGGGCTGACAGCTTCTAGACCAGCAAACTGGACTAGAAAATGTCCAGAGGTCCCTGCCAACCTCAATGATTCGGTGACTCCATGACCCACAACGGAGGTTTACCCACAGTAGAGTGCACGTCTGGAGGGCATTTTCCAGAGTAAGAGCAGCTGCAAAAAGCAGCAATCGGGGAATTGAGTCACGAAGGACCAGTGAGCACTGAGGTAAGAGGCTGCTGTAAGCCACAACCACCCCAGTTTTGGATCAGGCGTGCGCAGAGCATGCAGACACTCCAGTTTGCATCTCTATATACACCCACAAGTAGAATGAGCTGTTAGCTTACTCAAACGTAAACAAACTTCCCATTAAAGAGGGACAAAAGCAGCCTGGACCCAATTCTGAAGTCATCTTTATCCATAATTTAATCAAAATACTCGGGGATTCTACTAAACTGATTTTCTCCGATGGACCTGGATTTAAAGTTAAGCAAACACTGTCCAAAAGCGACAGGGAAGAGGCCCAAACTGCCCCCTGCGGGGACACTACCTCATCTAAGTGAAACAGCTTCACCCCTATGCTCCACACCCACCTTGATCTCGTAGTGCCGGTGTCGGTGCCGGCCCAGCTTGGCCAAGATCTCCTCCAGGTAGTACTCCTTCACCGGGTACATGAAACCCGGCACCTTGACCACGGGGCAATCCCCAAAATAATGCGAGAAACGTTGATTGTCTCCCGTGGCGCTCATCAGGACCAGGCGCAGGTCAGGGTTGAGCTTCTGGATGCCTTTCAGCTTCGGTGTTGACGTCTCGCTCGTGGACCTCATCGACCACGACGTGGCTGACGCCCTCCAGGCTGGGGTTGCCCTGCAGCTTCCGCAGGAGGATGCCTACGGTGCAGAAGAGCAGGGCTCCTCCCCTGGCTGGTGGTTTGCTCTCCAGTCGCACCTGGTAGCCCACGTTCTTCCTCATGTTGGGACCCAATTCCTGCGCCACGCGCTGGGCGACCGAGATGGCGCTGATCCTCCTGGGCTGGGTGATGACGACGTTGCAGCGGGCGCCGCGGCCCTCCATGATGTAGTGTTCCAGCAGGAGCTGAGGGATCCTGGTGGTTTTCCCACAGCCTGTGTCTCCTGCTATTACCACTACGGGGTTCTGCTCAATGGCCGATAGGATGGTGTCCTTGTGAGGATCTACTGGCAGCGGGTGGCTTTCCTGCCACGAGGATCCTCTCCTTTTCCACAGGGCCAGGAGATTCTGGCTAAGGCGAACTTCCTCTGCTTCCAACATGGGAATGTAGGTCTTCCCCGTGATTGCATCGCTTATCGCACCTGATTCCTTGCTCAGGTTCATCATGTCGTCAGCGATCCGGGGCCTGGACTCCCTGATGTCCACTGGATACTGGGAGAGACACAAAGATGGGAGAAAAAAAATTAGTACAAGTCCTGAGAAGGACAGAAAGAAACAAGTGTCTGGAACAGACTCAGCCAGACTGGCTTTGCAGCGAGCAAACTCTGCAGTTATTAGGTAACTCAGCTGCTTATATTCTGAATTATGGTTATTTAGAGGGAGAATTAACTCGGGGAGCTCCCTGCGTTTTCCTCATTGTGTCCCCTATTTTAAGAGAGGTTTTAGCGCTGATGCCTGAGCCGAGAGGCACAAAACAGTCACTTAAACTCTTCAAGTCAGTGGCTACGCTGCACGCAAGTGATGCAAGGGCCCCTCAAAGACAACTTTTGGAAACTATCAAGTTACACCGGCACCCTTCACTCCCTCAGGAAGTCCAGCCACGTAACTGGCACAAAACGTAAGCGTTCAGCTAAGCCAGAAATATTCCATCTTGGCAAAAGAAAAGACAGAAGTCCCACATCCCACAGGAAGAACTAAAAGGAGCAACAATAGGTCAGGAATTGTCTCGAACACAAATCAAAGCATTGGCCCAGATGTCTGCAGGATTAAAAGTTCAGCTACAAATCAGTACCTTTGGATTCAGCCTTATTCAGAGTGGCAAAGCCAAGCTTTCCACGCACGGCGTGACAGCTCACGGTCACAGGAGCATGGGATGCAGACCGAGCTCCTTCAGGATGTTGCTGTTTTCTAACTTTCCTAGCCCTTACTTCAGCCACTTAGAGCAGGTCAGAAGCAGCTCCTGTCTTGGCTTTCTACTGCTTCATTTACTTTACAGTACCTATAACGTACCAAAAAAATTGCCCAAGATCTTTACTGTTCAGGCCCATCAGTGACTTGCCAACTTCCAAATACGGGTATTAGTTTGAATTACTTCAGTAAGCTACACATTTCTAGCTAAGCTATGCTCAACCTCATCTTACCCTAGCGCTGCTGTGACCTGCACCCTGCCTCAGCACTGCTCCAGCTCCCATGGGTGTCTGGTCACCACCGGTGCACCAGGAAGAGAGATCTCCTGGGTGAAAGCACTCACCTGCACTCATCACTGATGTTCAATACCATCAGAGACATCCCCAAGGGAAACCTGCAGCTACCATCCCCTGGGCCTTGTAAAGCTACGAGGCACCACCACAGTTCAAAGGAAGTGATGCCTGCACAAGGCAGCATTCAAGCCTAAAAAGGAGGCTACAAGCAAGCCAAAACTGCACTCATATCATCTCAAAAGCCAAATAACGCAGAAAAATGTCAGAGATGCATACAGAGAAAGCCTGCTGCCAGAAAAAGTCTCTCTTCCCTGAAGGTCACCAGGGACTGATCAGATTTTGTGGCAAACTATCAAGCCATGGATTCCCTCGATGTTTTGCCATGAAGCTTTCAACCCACATAAATGGGAGCAGCCAGAGGTGGTTCTCAGGCAGCCCAGCAAGCCTTACGTGATTCAGGTAGTTCTCAATCTTGCGCAGGGTTGCTTCGGGGACTTTGATGTGGCAGGGTTTCCTCTGGTTCTCACCAAGCTCCCGCAGTGAAGTCATGTTGTACATGGCGTGGCTGAGGGGATTGTTGTTCTTGTCCACCAAGCCAAGGCTCTGCAAAGGAAGAGGCAAACGCTATCAGGCACAGGACTGCTGCATGCCAAGTGCTGCATATAGAGCACATAGGTCCTATGTTTTTGAAGGGGTTAACTCCTTATCCTGTATCCCAGCTCCATCACGAGAAACAAGACATGATCCCATCTCAACTCTGGTGAAATGGATCCACTGGAGCCAAGTGCTGCCTCTCCCAACACAACACACACAAGGAAGTCTTACACAGACCCAGCAAAGAAGCAGCAGCCACAGTTATACCTGACAAAACCTCCTTGCAAGTGCCCTTAACTGGCCTGCTACGGCTCTGGTATGTTGTGGTAATTCAATAATAAGCCCTGCACTATTTTCTTGGACTTCTCCTCAGAGAAACTATTGCAGCAATGTGTCTGGATTAACCCACCGACAAGAATGGGAAGAATTTGTCTTAGTAGCCACAGGAACAGGTCAATGCTTCCAGGGTGAACCCTTGGGCATCACTTTGTTCACTCAGAACATGCAAAACAGCCTTCCAGCCACAGATTGGACACTAGAGGGGTACAACAGCAGATTGGACTGAATCCTGAGGTTTGAAATACATCACAGAATGTGAGGAGTTGGAAGGGACC